TAAAAATATGTAAAATAAAATATAGTTCATTTGATTGGAAATTCCTCGAAACGAATTTATCACTTACCTAAATTAATTTATCAAGTTACAGTAAAAATATGTATTTACATATAAATCCGAGCCCTAATGATTATGTAATAATTTAACTAACAAATCGTGTTTTATTCTAGATATAATTTAACGCTTGAACAATTTCTAGTTACTGTATATTCCTATTGTTTAGGATAACGGTACTATAGACAATTTAAGCATTATAAATATTGCCGATTAGTTGAAGGCAATTTGCATTTAATTTAATTTTAAATACTTCCCATACATTTATTAGATATTTCTAAATACTAAATAAAATGTCAAATTTATTGAGCATATTAATAATACCTAACTAATGTTGACTTAAGAGTAATTTTTTTGTGCATTGAACTAATCGTTTTTTTATTTATTAAATTATATATTTTTTAATTTCTTAATTGTTGTCCATTACAAAATAGTAAAATAGTTGTATTAACTCATAATTTTGTTAATTATATAAAAATATTTTAGTATAATTAATCAAATATTTTTCTCATTATTTAATATACCATACAAAACAAGTTGTTATTTATAATATTTGGTTTACTTAACTTTGCTTTGACTAGTATAATTAATATTTAGGCATTGTACACTATGAAATATTATAAATTATAGTCTTATCCTATCTCAAAAACACTTAGAAAGAACCATTATTTTATATTTTTCAATAACCGGAACCCGAATCTTTTAATATAATAATTAAAACCCGGAACCGTAAAATCATAAAGGTACCAATCCCTGGTTCAATAAATGTCTAAATTGTAGTAAAAGTGCTGATTCAGATTTTAAAAAATTAATTAAAATACCGCGCTTATTACTAATAAGTTATTAGTAATGAGTTATTAATAATAATTTATAAGTTATATCATTACCTTTTCGTTACTGTAATAAAATAACTAAACTTTTTAGTAAAGTTATTTTATTACTCAGTTAGGAAGGTAAATGCATTTTTCATATAATTTAAAAAAAATATATGTAATATATGAATTGACAATAAACATCCGATTTTTCGATTTCCTTGGAATTTACAAATACCAATAATTGTAATCATAGTATATACTATACTAGGTTAATAATATTACAAGTTCGATTCGTTACTAATATTAAACTATATACTATCGTAATATAAGTATTAAGTTATTGCTATAATGTGAAAATGTAAGTATCACATTGATCTTCGTGTACCTACGAGGTTAGGGTAGTATATTAAATAAGTAATATTGTTTTCATAATGTTTGTAGGGAAAATATGATTTTCTGATATTTGTAAGATGAATGAATAATTATTACATCCATATTGTAAATTGAGTAGTATAAAATTGTTGTCTAAAATGATTGATAATTTCCAAATCATCAGAATCAATTTGCTAACTATATACATGATTAAAGCACACCCATAATATGATAATTATATTTACAATAATAGTATAATATATTATAATAATTTGGTTTTAATTTTCCGAGTTCTCTAGAGATTTATAAATTCCAAATATGTATTTACAATTATTTCGAATTAGTTTGAATCCGATAGGACGAAGTAGGAAAGGAGCTGCACAAAGTTGGCCCCTCATTTCGATTTTGATTTTCCGAGTTCCCTGAAGATTAACAAAGTCCAAAATTGCATTTACAATTATTAACAATTAATTTACAATTATTTGTTTGAAACCGAAAGCACAAAATGGGGGGAGGGGCAATTTCATGTGCGTACGATATAATGATAACGATTAGCACCGTATACAATTAAAGATGTTATGTTTTTTGGATTCGACTCGACGTGTATATCAGACATCTCGTACAAATGAACAAAATTATAGTTAGTCGCACCGAATGGATATACATAGATGAAGGGTAAAAAATCGACACTATGTTATATAACACGTCATATTTCGTATAGTAAAAAAACGTATCATTTTATTATTATTATTATTAATATTATACGCGAGATAAAATCTGAAAATTTAAAACCAAGTGCGCCCCATTTGTCCCGCGCCCGCGGTCCTGTTCATAAACACAACAACCGTAAAACGACACGAACACGGCGTGCGCAAACGTGCAAGCCACGTATACGTGTATGTTATTGTATACAGGGTGGCTGTCGTGTTGTTTACTTCGAAAAACAACACACACTGATGTGCTCCATCGTATATATAATTGTATACAGGCACGAAGGCGGCTGTGTGCGGGTGGAGTGGGGAGGGGGTCAGCTGGTCGCGGAATGGACCCTTTTCAAGATCAATTCGAACGAGGGTGGCGGCGGCGAGGACGGCGAATTGTTGTCCGCATCCGGGGTTTGACCCGTCGGTTCGCCCCGGTGCTGCTGCTCGTATTCGACCTCGCGGATGAAATCGGCCATGGCATGGAGCAACACCTGCAGCGAGCCGCTCGACTTGCCACCTGTTCCCACGCCGTTTTTGCCGCACACCCTGTTGGCCTGACTCGCGACTTTCTTCACAACGTTCTTCAGCGTCCCCATCGAGATGGCCGCCGCGATCGGATCACCGCCGTCGCCGGCTGTGACCGTGATCGGATGGCCACCGTCGTCGGCTTTGACCGCGATCGGATCGCCACCGTGGCCGGCTATGACTGCGATCGGACCACCGCCGTGGCCAGCTTTGACCGCGATCGGATCAGTGCCACGGCTGACGGTGGCCGCGACGCCTTGTTCGCGGCCTGTCGACGTGCGGTCGTCGTTCGCTGTCTGCACAGCAATAACGTCGACCGGAAAAAAAAATAACACCACACTTTGGACTCGGGTATAGACCATCACTTATAAAAAACGTTTCTCGTACACGTTTTAATCGGATCGCTGTTCTGAAATTAGATATTAGGAACACGGTTTCGAACCGTTTTCCCCCGGTCGGCTACCGACTATCACGTGGTTCAGCAGGACTGCCGGTGTGTGATGAGAAGAAAAAAAAGAAAAACACGACAAAACGAAACCCGATAAATCGTAAAACGTTCTGCGAGCGCGTTCTCGGTGCACGAGATACGGTGAGATACTTGAGATATGTCCGTACGTACGTACCTTCGTAGTTTTTCGTTTAGCGTTTTTTAGGTACAAACAAAACACTGAGCATCCAATTATAATCAGTAAGTAAGTAAGTTTCGTGCAGACGTTTAAGTAGTTTAACTCAACAGGTGGCGGTGCGCAGTACGACGGCCAAATACAGCACCAAACACTGTCTTCAGATATCATTGTTCGAAGAAATTTTCTCAATGTTCGACTTCGGTAAAAACCTGTGCGGATTTGGCTGTTACGTTTAACGCATTTTAAAGTAATATCAATTTTTGTATTTTCATTTTTTAAACATGATATGTTTAAAAAATGAATACTGTTTTAAACATTACTTGGCAACTAAAGCTTAAATCGATTATTTTTAAAACCAAATACACGTTCCTGTGTGAATTTATATTTATGCGTATTTAGCCAATCACAAATGTTTCATCGATTACTGTAAGGCTCCTTTCACACTAACCATGGTGGCACCACCAAAAAAGTGTAGCCACTAAACACGCCACCAGACACATTATTTTATTATTTTATTTTACAATGTACAACATTCAAACAAACCAATTAAACCAATATTTAGTTCCAAAGTGAAAGTTGAAGAGTTAACATGTGTTGCTTATTTGTACAACCGTAGTAGACGTGCAAAGAAAAAAAAACGGGAAGTTTTTAGGTACATTCATTAATTACTGATCGCTCTGCATAAGGCTTATTCAATTTATTTTACTGAAAATATGAAGACAATTTTTTTAATTATTTAAGAATGTCGATCAATTCATTTAATGAACTTTTCGGCATTCTTAATGATGATTTAACTGGCCAACATACCAATATGAGAGACTGTATTTCACCTGTAGAAAAATTTATTGTAACTTTAAGGTAAGATATATATATTGGTTAATAAATACTTTAAAAAATACTACTAAAAAAACTTTTTTGTACCTACTACCATAAAATATAAGACAATGTAGGTAATTTAATATATTGTAATAGTATTAGGTACTTATCTACATATACTATAATACTTAAAAAAAGTTAACAATAGACGTCTTGATTATGATTATTAAATTATGTTGTCCATTTTGTTAAACACAGTGCAGATACGTCTGGTCACGCAACTAGTGACCGATCAATTGAAAATAACGCGCGTTTTTCATAAGAAATCATATAAATGTTTTGGAGGCGCCACTTTATGTGATCGTGTGTCCACTAATTTGGACGCACCACCATAATCTAGTTCTGTGTTTCTTTTGGCCGCGCCACCATAATTATCATGGTGGCGTCGTGTGAAAGGGGTCTAACAGTAGTTTAATTATAGCTGATACAGCACCTTAAGTTTTTTAACAATCGGACAGCTAAATCCTATTTACGTAAATGATCAACTACAATTTTGTCAGTAAAATTCAATGTTTAATTTATTTTCTACTTAATTACATTATAATATAAAATAAGCAGATATGATTTTATGTTTATAAATTTACGATATAAATGTTTATAGTTGATTTTAAAACTTTGTAATCTTATGTATGTATACTTGAAATGGTTCGTAATAATATGTGTTACCATAGTATCTAAAAGTTCTATAAGAAAATATAATAATCTTACTCCTAGGTTTAAAAACTAAATTTTATTTTATAGCGTAGTCTTAATTATTATTTAACGCGATGATTAAAAATAATTATTATGAAATACAAAAGCAAAATAAAACATATCGAATTCGAAAAAAATGTTTATAATAACACAATATATTCAGTTCTTGTTACTTTTTTTTTTAACCTAAATACATTAGTAACACTAAAACTAAGTAAAATATAACATTTTAAAAGAGATTATGTAGCTTAACTTAAGCTACGGACAAAGTTTTTATCAGAAATATTATATATGAAAAAAAATAAAAATTACACAAAAAAAATGTTATATACGAGTTTAAAGCGATATGAATATAACCTCTATGTTTTATACCATAAACTGCAAATACCCATCGACATCTTGAAGTTGTTTTGACGTAAATTTTGCCGAGATTACTTGCTTCCCGGTGAACTGCGGAACAAACTTAAACGATACGTTTATAGTTTTTTTTGCACTCACCTTGCTATATAACACACCAAAAAATATTCATGTAATTAAATTATGTAGTAATTCGTCAAAAACTGATTTTTCAGAACAATAATTGATCGACTTTCCAACAAAACAATTATGTATTCATACTTCATTTGTAATTTCAACAAGTACCTTTTTACAAATTGTACAATACCATGCAGGGCTTGGATTTAACAACAATATAGTATGTACAAGGTACCCTACAATAGTTTTATGTGGCCTCAATTATCGTGAACTGTCAGTGGACCGTTGTGAACTTACTTTATTACCCATAACGAGTAAAGATTATTTTCATCGTTTGGAAATTAATTAATAAAAAGCAAGGATATGTGATGTAACTATATAACCTAAACATAAGATACATATAATTTATATAAAAATGAACATCGGAGCGATATAAACATAAAATATAAATGTTTATGATATTTAACTAAATCTTAGACGTAACCAAAAAGTTACAGTAGGTAATGAAAGTTTTAGTCTACATTAAATTATGCACATTGTTATGTGACAGAAATTAAAACAAATTTATTCTTTGGTCCTTGGAATATATTTTTAAATAATTTATTATTTTTAAACGATCATAGAAAAGGAAATGATAGACACATATGATTCATCTGTTTATTCAAATAATTTTGATATATATATATATATGTGTGTGTGTGTGTATTAAAACACGAAGCTGTCGTATTAATATATTTTTTTATCAGTACCACAACTATTGATAAATCTTAAATAGTGTATTATGTTGTTGATATAATATATTATAAAATAATATATTTTATCATGTGGATCCATATTTGAGAAATGTTAACTCTAATAGTACATACCCTACTTTCAACTCCAACGTCTTTGGCAAAGATGAACCTGCTATTAGGAATTTTCCATCTTTCAAAGCCACGGGCAATGGATTTCTGAACTTCACGTTCACCTTGATTTCTTGTGACATGGTAGGCTTCTCGATCATCTAATATTTCAAATGTTTAAATAATATGATTTAATTTTTATTTTTAATTGTTATGAATAAAATTGAAATGCACGCTTGTGTGTACCCGAAAAAATATATTAAATGTTAAGTCGACAATAATATTAAAATATGACAGACACTCACTTCGAACTCTATATCCGGTTTTCTAACACGAAAATCGTCCTGTCCAAAGTACTCATAGTCTGTGTCTACAACACTTGCCAGACAGGATATGTTGAAAACATTTTGACTTTTCACGTCCTTACCATAATCAAAGTACGTCAAAGCAGTTTGAACGTATTCAACATTCAATCCTACAGCACGCAAGACACAAAAAAATAACTTTAATATACCCGAGTTTATGCGTATTTTAAATACCAAATTCCATGTAATAACAGACGCAGTGCCAAAAAGTAAAATTATTTCAGAGTAGACATGGACAAGCATAAAATTGTGCACAAAATAACACTAATTTTCCTAGAATGGATTATATCTGGTGGAATATAGAGATTTTTTCTTTTATATCACTGTATTTCATTTATTCAGATGTTTATTCGCTACCATACCAAAACAAGAATTTAACTTTGTAGAATATGGGCGATAATATTTTAGATCACGCTCTTAAAATTATAGTAATATAGCTCTTGGAAGTTTATCACATTAAATTATAGTACCGTATGGAATAATAGAGTAAAAGAAAAATTTAAAAATCTACATAGAGGCTATTTCATTTCTAATAATTCTAATAGGAGCATATTCATGCCTGAGAAATATATATATATTTCATAATGTATAAACATATACATACATTTTACTACAACGAACAAGTACTAAATCTGTAATATTTTATGAAGTAAATGAGCATTGCGTTTTACATTTTATTTCGTTTTTGAATTACCTGGATCGTGAAGCACGACTTTTTGTTCTTCGATTTTGGTGACGAGAGATCCATTTTTTCCAGTGTAATCCACGGTATCGACACGCAAAATCACATTCACTGTGTAATCTTTGTGGCCTTTATTGGTGATTTTTACCGCAACTCTGAAATTATATTTATAAATATTATCGTTTTAGTGATAATTACGCGTCAAAAAATGTACAAAATATCAAAAAATTTTTTCATCTTGAGTGTTCCAACTATTCTGCTAACTATATTCCGTTTGTGTTATGTATAGGTGAACAACTTACAATGTAGAACGTACAATAAACGATAAAGTTATCAAAAAGGATGAGGCTAAAAGTTACCAACAAGTATAAACTGTGTATTATTGTTTATTATGTAACTAATTTTCTTGCCAGTGATGTTAGTTAATTTTTTTAGTGTATGTAACTTTTTTATCAGAAAATCTTATAAAACGAATCAAATATTTTTAGTTCGAATATAATGTATATATAATATAAAATATATATATATATATAAAATAAGTTGGTTGTGGCAAATTAAATTTGTATCGTTTAGTAATGTATCAATAGGTATTTGATATTTAGAGATTAAAATATATAATTAATCTTCTAATTCGAAATTTACCGAAATGGTTAGACCGCTACGGAATGATTTTGATTAGTAGAAATCGGCTTCACTATATGTAGATATTTATATTTTTTACGGACAATTTTTCGATGTATAAATTAACAATATTTACAATGTTAAAATAATGAATATTAATTTAAACCTGAAATTTTCTCCCACAATAATGTCATCGACTAATTCGAAATCGAATTTGATTTCATTGAAATCTTCGTTCAAATAATAACGGCTGAATACACTATTATTTTGTTTTAACGCCGAGTGCATTGTAAGTCTTTCCTCTTTGGAATCTGAAAATATAAGACAGCACGTTAATAACGGTTTATAAGTATAATTATGAACATAAATAGTATGGTTCGTCTGTGCCACGTACTTTCGGGATATTTGTAGTTGTCCGTGATGTTTTCCTGTTCCCATTTGCCTACTGCTTTTGTGCAGATCAGTTTGCCGATTCTATAACACGGGCAAAACGGATAACATTATCAGTTGCACGCGTCATTGACAAGCGCAGATATTTATAACGATATGTATACATGATGTATATAAACAATATGTAATGCGTACAAAATCGAAATAAAATATAAAAATTACGAGTTCGTTGCAATTGTATTCGTTTGCGAGTAATAATCGTGAATCAAACACACTAAAACAGTGGTTTTCAATCTGGGGGTCGCGAATCATAAGTTTGGGGGTTGCCAAAAATAACGGATGAAATGATTTTTCCGTATTATTTAAAAAAAACCAAAGTAAATTATTTATTTTGTGAAATTTTTAAGTGTAAATTAATCAAAATTGTTAATTATGTAAATAGTTTATCGGTAATTAAATCAAATTTTGATGAATAAAACAAAATTTTTTTTTTGAAGAGATAGCATTACAAAAAAATAAAAAACGGGGAGTCGCGATCCGAAAAAGGTTGTAAACCACTGCACTAAAACACTTACGCTTCCGTGTCCTTGCGCAACAATTTGGTCGGCTGAGACGGTCCGTAATATCTCCAGTACACCTTGTCAGCGTTCACCTCCGAGTACACGAAAGCCGTGTCGTACGGGGCACGTATGTCTCCGTTCTTCACAGCCGTGACGCTGGACGGGCCGCATTTGTACTGGCCCTCGCTCAATTCTTGCGGCGTGGCGTCGATGACTTGCCAGCTGCGATCTAGAACGTTCAAGTCGGGCCTGGCCATCCAAACCTCGTTCCACACGTGATAATTCCTGCAAGGAAGAACGAGAATTAATGTAATAAAGAAAAATAAGACTGTAACGCGTCGCCGCGGATACACTTGTGGTCGACTTCAATGCAAATCAAGCGAGACGCATTTAGGAGGGAGGGGTACAACGGGTACGATTGTAATGGGTGGCTATAGTTTTGAGGAGCGGTAGTAAAGAGGTAGACAATTTTGAATAAATTCTGATAATCATGGTGGAAAGAAAAACAAAAAATTGAATCACTTAAAACCATTTTAACCATTAAACTTAACGCACATGCCCCATTGATAAGTGATTATCATTATTAATTGTTTATATTATTCAGTCACCATAGACTATTTAATTTCATCTAATATTATTTTACTACGTGATAAGTGATTATATTTATAATACAGACACGATGTTGAATTAATGATAACACTATTATAATATTAATTATTAATAATATGTTCATTTATCAAAAAAACTAATTTATTATAATATGAGTTATGATTTATATAATTTCTGTGAAGTTTAAATGAGTTTGTTATTATATGTTATAGGCAGTGGCGTATACATAACTTTTGTATTGGGGGAGGGGTCATTTTCAAACAAATCATTATTTTTTTTTTTTACGTTTCTAAAGCCCTCATACTAAGAATATTATTGTATAACATTGAAAAAAAAAAGCCTAGAGAGGGATCTGACCCCAACACCCCCCTTTTAAACACCACTGGTTATAAAGTAAGTACTAGAAAATTATAAATTATAATTATTTTTATTATATTTTAATATATATATATACTCGTATTATTATTATGAAATATTAAAATTGATAATTTTTTTTTGTTTCATTAAATTATTTCTGTTATATAAAATTTGAAAGTAATTATATTAAAGTATATATTTTATATTTTCACAGGGAGAGATACCCAAATATATCTTCCTAAAATATGCCCTAGCAGGAGGGGCAGTGAATGATTTAATTTGTATTGGGCGCCAAAATCTGAAATGTGGCCCTGACTACACACTACAGCATATTTTTAAACAAACGCGCTTGCACGTTTGTATTTGGTTCCCGTGCATGAATAAAGATGGGCTACTGAAAAGTAATTTTCTCTATATAATAAATAATAATATATACTACTTATATAATAAATTTCACTTTATGATAACGAAGATAACTCTACAAAAAATGACCGATAATCTTAATACCTGCACGTTATACAATTATATTACTCACCAAATCGAGTCTGATTGTAGCTCTTCGAGTATTTTGCCATTCTCGTCAACCATGTAATCGATTGTTAAACTGTTTTGCGTATCGTGAGCTGCGCAATATGCCGTCACGGGACGGCAAGGTATTCCGATAGCCCTGCAAACTATGCACAAACATTATCATACGTACACGTAAATTACTAATAAGGCTTTTATTAAAGAGACTCACAGCAGTCTTGGAATCTAATTGTAATGGTTAAAAATAATTGTATGAGATTAATATTAAATTAGTAAAATTGTTTAAAGTCTATACAATCGTAACGTTATATCTAAAATAAATAACTCCCAAATTGTAAATACATTTATTATTAAATGTACAAAAAGATAAGAAAATCTATTTACACTACGATTTACAAATAAATGAAATACGAACATGTACGATTTTGTACACAGTTTCTAAATATGAATATGGTTATATTAATTATCACGAAAGTAATAAAAAAGGTAGAAAACCATTTAACTAATGAACTATTAGCATTATACATTCCCGAATTTAATAAAATATTATGGTCAAGATACACAAAGCTGAGTAAATTATCTTTTAATGTATGATACTTTGTAGTCGGGTTCTTAAAAAAATATAATTTTTATTTATCTGAATTAAAATAAAAGCAAATGAAATAAAACAATGTTAAAAATTAATGTAGGAAAATTCAATAACATTTTAACATAATAACAAATAAAATAGTATAGGGTATCGTAGTACGATATACATTTGATCTCATTATTTTAATTATAGTTCCAATCACTTAAAAATAATACTATGAACAAACCCGTAGTAAGAACGCCAGCGTAGACCCAGCATTGTCCATATTTCACAGGCTTTTTTGTCTTGAGGAATTGATTTAAAATGTCTGCGCTTCCCAACCAATTGATCGGTGGGTTACCACCAGAAAAATCTTCAGTCCAATTACCTACAATAACACCCAATTCATCGGGTGCATTTACCTATTGAAAAAAAAAACCTCATTAATACTGTGCAAAAATTTGATTTCGAAAAAATTGTCTAAATTGAAAACTTCTAATGCATCACTTAAAAACATATAATTTGTAAGTGCGTTTTAAAATTACAAAAACAGTAATAAAACTGAATAATTAAAATACTTAAAAAAATTAATCTTTTTGGTTTGATCCATTTAATATAAAAATATTTATAGGTATAAATAAGTGTCTATATTACACATTTATATTAAATATTCTGTGGAATATTATAGCGGGTCAGATAGTATGTGACAGTTGGCAGTAACTGGCCGACTCCTGCATCTAAGCCAACAATAAATGCACTTAATTACTGGTGCATTAATATTATTTATATCATATAATCGAATTACACAGGAACACGATGATAATTTTTCTCTCATTGAACTACTCCATTTTGAGTTCTGACTTACCGCGGCAGATAGGTTCCTCGACACTTTCACTGGATCGCTGCAGTGTATTAGCGCTAATCGTCTGATCTTCAACAATAACAGAAAACTGATCTCCAACATGTTCTTTTGAAACTGGCCGAATGTCCACATTACTTTTTTCTGCCTGCTATGAGAGCCACGCCACATCAGTCCTTCTTCGCACAACACGTATTCTTCACGAAGCTTTTCGTCTCTTATGTACACTTCGTCAGCTGTACACAATAACATATAAATATTTCGATTGTACACTTTGATTCAATAAATAAAACAGCAATATCCAAGATTTAGGCTAAAGGTTTTCAACCTTTTGAGGTACTTGCCCCATTCATACTATTTTATGACCCCTTACCATAATAAAATCGAATTATGTTTATTATATATAAATGTATATATTTTAATACATAGCCTTTAATGTTAATTATTGGATTAATATGATGATATCAATATCAATAAAGTTTTTTTTTAAATGTTTAATAAATTTATTTATTAGGAAAAAATTATTATTATAATTTAAAATTATTATAACAAATTATATTATATTCACTTTCTTAAATATTACATTTTAAATTTATCATTATTAATTAGGTACAAATAAATGGTTGGCACTACTTAGCTTCAATAAATTGTAATTTTATAATGTTCATGCCTCTCTTGAAATTGTATCATCCCTCTACGAGAATGCGACCCACAGATTGAAAATTTCTGCTTTAGGCAGTGTTAAGAATTTTATTCAGCATACAAATTTACAGTTTAAATTTAATATACCTTATGTAACGCATACGCATATAATAATTCATTCAATCTATCCACCCCCCTCCCAAATACTAATAATGAAAATATGCCACGAAGTAACTAAGTATTTATAAACGACATGGAAGCATTTTAGCTCGTGCAGTTTAGGAGTAAAATTTTACTACTGAACTTCGTACATCTTCATAGTATACAAAAAGGCTTAAACTGCAACAACTTACTTGGACACCATGGATTGAACAGTATGTAAAACGGATTTCCTCTAGCTGAGAACAACGCCGCTTCTTGTCCCAACCGGGTGTCCACGTCAAACTCCCATTGTCCTACGATGCAATTGTTCGGTGGCGTTATCTATACGCACATACATAAGTATATTTATACATTTATAAATTGGTAATAAAAACGTTATTTTAATGATAAAACTCGCAACCGAATATCACACACTATATAGAGTATACGCTCAATAAGTATTAAAACATAAGTGTGTATGCAATGTAATAATTACACCAAGTTTCCATACTTTTTAAATACACTATATGTTTATATAGTTTGAACAAATTATTATAACTTACCCTGACGCTGACCATATTTGGGCCCACATCGTCCGTATGCATCACGTACGCCGACCAATGACCATTGCCGTTCGTTGGGTTTTTCTTTAGGGGAACAACAGCCTGAGTATTATTTCCAAAACTTGTATCTCCCGCTTCTGAAACATTTGAAATCAAATTGTTTAAGATTTCTGATTGGAAAATAATTATTTCGGCGATAACGTATTACGCCAATTCACTGGTTTAAAATGCGTATAAATTTATTTCACATACCTACGTTTCACTAATTGTCATGTAATTGAAATAAATTATGTTTAAAAAAAATATATTGACGATGATTTTAACTAAGATATCTTATTGTTTCAAAATATGTGCGATAAATTCATTAGTGTTTTTCTTTTTCGCCGTACACTGATTTGTATAGAGTACCACAACTCAAAAGTGTCGTATAATACGGTCTGTTTTGATATTAAATATCAACCACATACGAGTATACTCTATTTAAGAAAATTATTTTTTGTCTATATTGTGTAATGATTATTATATTCTGATAATAACGATTTGAATGATAAAATATTTATACATTTATTAAATTGTGACAGAGAGCTTTATTTTTATATTTACGATACACGTTGTTTTTTTTTCAATTACATACACAGATTTAAAATAATTTATTCGTAAAAAATTTGTTTCTTAATTATATAAAATTAATGAATATGTTTTTAAATAGTTCAATAAAAATTAAAACAGTACATTGCAAATAAAATGTTCTTCAGTTCATTACAAACACTTCAAAAATCTACGAGATGTTTATTTTTATTCATTTGTACTTAGTTCACGTTAAACAGTTGATCTAGAATTTAATAATCCTGCAATATTTTATGGTGGTTTGATGCTGAAATTTCACAAGACCACTAAATTACTTATAGCGAAATTAGTTTTTTTTTTTATAATATGCTTTTGTGATTATCTATATAAAACCCCTTAATAAGCGAATGTGAATTTATTCTACCACGTAATATAAACAATCGTTGGTTGACTATTTTCGAGGCGTCGCATATAGGCAAATATATACACCACGTTACATGACGTACGTCGCATTAAATAAATGTTATGCAATAGTAATACTTCGTGATCTATTTCAAACGAATCTTTTGGTTTTGAATTTCTATGAAATTCTATTTCATCTAAATCGTATTATTTATAGAAATTCAAAAAACTAATTCGAAAAGAACCATTAAATCGTACCAATTCATGCAACATTCACAACAAATCAGGCTAATCCGTACGAAATTATTTATACTGATAATAAATGTATACATATTTTGGTTAATGCTCGTTAACTAGAATGTAATCCCATAGTTTTTTGTTGGTTTGATTTACATCACGTACCCATTAATTTATTTCAAATATATTTTATATTATTATTTCACACATAAATTATACTGGGTGAAAAGTTATTAATTTGGACTTAATCCAATACTAATAAATAAAACATCTGAACGTCTATTCTCATACATAAATATATATATATATGATATTCAATAGCTTATTTACTTAAAATAAACATCTACTCATAATTAATTGATCGGCAGTGATATTAATAGAAATAAGATTATTTAAAATTTGTGATCTTTCACACGAAATCTTGAACAATTTCATGTTTATTTATTTAAAGACAAAACGTGACGTATAATTTAATTTTTCTTTTAACACAACAGGATGGGAAAAAAAAATTCTTACAATTTCGCTCTTGATATAATAATAACCTTTTCATTTACACTTTTCTGACGTTAACACATGTTTATTCTTTTAACAATGACTATATTATATTATAAATCCTTATAATAGAGGCGTGTGAACATGTTGTTTTCGACACGAAAATGACACAGAGACTATGAAAACATTATAGAATCAACGCCTACTTTAGTAATCTTAATTATATGTGCATATGAGTGGGCGTATAATTAAACTGCAACTGCACATCAAACAAATTTATTAAAGTTGTATGATATATAGAGTGATAATGTTATTTCGATAGACATAATGTACTTTAGTTGCTCAGAAAATAACTCCGAAGTACTTCTTTTACATTATTATTATGAATACCATGTAAAGGATATTTTTATTTTGTGTCTAGCATTCACGTAAAGTACAGATTAAATTTGGTATAAATACATCTGATTGCTGTAAAATTTCGATTAAAAAATTAGTAATTAATTGACATCCCTATGTATGTATAAAATAACATATATTTTATAAAATATTAAGGCAATTTTTTATAATTATTTATTCATTATGTACTCGTACTATAAAGTTGTTTTAAATTAACATCCAATGAATTATGATATTATTGAGAATATGTTATTAGTTAATTATAATATTTATTTATAGAATCCAAAAGTAAAATGTATTATAGTGAAATAGATAACCAGTTATGGACTCATAAATGCCATGAATGATTAACATTAAATTGCAAAAACATTTTTTAGTGAATAAAAGCGAAAATGTGTTAAAATATTGAATATCATTAAAATAAAAAAAGGAAAAAAAAAAACAAAAAAAAATGTAGTGGATGAGCGTTAACATATAATGTTTGCTTATCAAAATAATCTACATATATTTTGGTCCGCGAATGCTATCATTTTGATAGTATTCATTTTTACGTTTCCAGCTCTACGTGTACGCTCCTCTCGTAAATCAAATATTTTAAAACAGATAATATCAAATTTAAAAATATTCATCGTTTAATATACGTTATATATTTTTATTTAAGTATAAAATCAAAACAATATTATCTATGTATCGATATAATTTGCAGTGGATGTAGTATTATTCGGGACAAAATATTATTTTAAAAATTTAATGAAATAAGTAATGCATATTTGCGATTACATATACCCACGTTAGGAACCAAATACCTCGTCAGTTGATCTTAAATAATCTAAAAACCTATCCACTACATAAGTCGACCAGCATTATATTTTAATTAATTAAACTTAAAAAGATTTTTATATAACAAAAACGTATTATACGAAACAAGATTAACAAATATGTATTTATGGTTACTCCGCAGACACACCTATGTGCAATAGTATAATACACGTCAATACTATGGTAAACGCTGAGTTCACTTTATTATCTGTCTTATTACACAATTAGACAATCTAAATTGCAAATCAAATAATTTTTAATAAAATATTAAGTACCATAGGTAAAAAATGAAAAAAAAAAAATAGAAACTGAACGATTTTCAAATGTAAATTTAATAAACTATGCTCGCATGCAGACCAAAGGACTAGACAGTAGTATGTTAGTCAGTTTTCAATTTTTTTAAGTGAATTAAAGTGAATTATCACTATCGATGTTTTTATTACATTATCAACAAACTTTATAAGTTATATCAAGGAATTTCACTATCGTTCGAATAAAATAATTTTAAATCACTGGTAACTTAAAAGCAGTATGTAAGTACGTAAGACTTAGTAACATGGAAAAATGACACACGTACTAAAGTGAACAAAGGTTAAGTAAAATCCATCGTATTATGTTCATATTACTTCAATGGAACGAAAACACTAAAAACAGAAGTAATTTAAATATTTCAAATTTCTTTTGTAGTGTAATTCAGTTTCAGCAATATAACACAACGAACGCATTTTCAAATATTAAATTAGTTAACATTTCATCAGTTTCTTAAACGTGGAAAAATGCCAAACGTGGAAAAATAGTTTGGTACGTTATGCGGATTTTATGCTGTAGTTAAAAAAGGGTATGACTTATATGTGTTGCACGTGCAGTACTCGCAACTAGGTCGAGCGAATAATTTCATTTCTATAAAATATTATTTTGTAACAGTCTCGCCGAAGTTGCGTCGAGATGAAACTCGGAAACAACATGTACGCGAGGACAAATATTAAACGAAACAAGAAAACCTTTTCTAATAATTGTTTTTAACTGATTTCATACTGTCCACGCACTGCAGCAACATTGCATTATTTGCGCACCTACATAATTAATGCATTTGTGCAGCGTACGTGTACATTAACAATAATAATATTATGATCGCATAACACTTTGAAGCGTGTTGCCTACGTTGCATGCGTTCATGGTCGTTAATAAAACTATAACAATAACGTATTGATATTGCAGGCATATCATTATTAGAACAAACAACACGTCCTACACAACAGCCCAGCGGTTAAATGCATTTCCTGAAGTCGTTGAAAAACTAATAATTAATGGTACGACATAATATTTCGATAGTGATCATGGTGCGATAATGTGATAGTCGTGTTTTTATTTATGCAGTAAATGCATAATATAATTTTTTGCATACTATATACTACTGTACTAAATATCAGGCATCTAATATGAGCTTAAGATTCTGAACGAGGCTAGAGATGTATTTAAACATTTGTATATATTCGATATGATTTTCATATAAAGTCAATCGTTATTACTTCAAATTTTAAGAGATGTTTGTTTTTATTGTAAAGTAAATTTTCAAAATCAAACCGAATTTAATTTAAACATAATATTTCGGTGCACGTTTTCGTGTTAAGAAGACGCCACACCCGCATGTTTTGTCTCCGTCTGATATATGTACATCATAGTAAATTTGCGTTCATTAATTCAAATGTAGTCACGTTACCTTTAATATTAAAGTAAACTGGAAAGAAAAACATTATCTATATTTTGTTGGCCGATATTTTTCCAATATTTTAATTTTTAATGAGTTTTTTTTTAATTGTAATATCTTACATACTCATAACGCGCTTAAAAATTAAAATATCGAGTAAAACCGACCAACAAAACACAGATAATGTTCTTCCCTTAAAATTTGATTATAGTTCAGTTTACTCTAATATTAACGCTAACATCACTACATTTGAATTACTGAACGTAAATTTGCTATGTTGTACGTATGTCAGACGGATACAACACAAGTGGCGTCCTCTTAACCAAACAGCCCTAATGGCTTGTAGTACAATATAAAAATAGAGCGTATCGAATATTGGTATAAAAAACGCCTATTTTTAATTTTAATATTTAATAATTCTTAAGCGTTCGTTTATTATTCACAACAAACCATCTAAATATAAAAACATATATTAAGCTACATGTGAGTTAACTACCAGCAGTGTTGAAACTTATTGTTATGCGATTGTATAAATGAGTAATAGATGTTACTTATTTTCATTGAAATGTGCCACGAAAGATTTGAATTTTTTTTACAAACGTATTCGTGTAAGCATTTATATAGTAATATCAAATTGGCTAAATATGCTGGGTTGGGATCTTCTTATCCCAATGCCTGAGTTTTAACTACACTTGGACCTACGTTTCAAGCATTATTGTTATAATGTTTATTGATAATGTATTTTACATAAATATACCTTAGTTAAACTATATTAAGTATTAAAAATTACTACAAAACAATGTTAAATTATAGTTATAACTTATAACCATTTACTGGTTATATTTTATTTCTTCTCTTATTCAATAATATCTAATAATATCGTAGATTTTGGAATAAATATAATAATAATATTGTACAATTATTATTAGAATTATTTAGTCATTGATAATATGTACCTATTTTTGAAATATAAATTTACGGCCACTTTTCATGACAATGGTAATATAATTCATGGATGGCATGGCTATTTTTGCTCAATAGTCTTAAGGCGATTGAGTACTTTTCCCAAAACCGGCGAGACACCTATTAATAGTTCATACCGTGTTAAATATTATGATCTTATCTAAAAATTCTTCGAAATTTTTATTTTTATATTTTTCTTAATTCCATGAACTCTTGAATTGTTATCGAATGCGGCATTTTACGAAAATATTTTTCTGGTCTTGAAAATCAAAATTAACTTAATTGGAATAAATCAAAAAATAATTTGTTTATTTCAAGTTAATCTGTAAGGAAATGAGTTAAGTTAAGAAGTTAATGAAATAAGCAATGAGTTAATCAGTAATGAAATAAGTTAATTTAATAAGTTAAATTAAGTTAACTTTAATTTAACTTTTAACTTATTAACTCGTTAATGCCTGGACTTAGAAAAAATACGACTTTCCTGGTAATGAAAATATTTCTATTAAAATATTATAAAAAAGAAATTTCACTTTGATATTATTTGTAAAAATCTATGTACACCTATTTATCCATTAGCTAGTCGCTATAAATTAGAAACTTATTGCAGTAGTTACAAAATATTTTTAAGTTTATTACTGTAAATTAATATATAGTGTTTAAATAATAATTATACATTTTTGGATTTGTAGAAAAACCTGAAAAACAGAACTTTCGTGCTAAGTTATTTGTTATTTTGTCGGAAGAAAATCATTTACATTATTAATTCAATAAATATAACTTATGTGAGACAGGGTGTGCGTCAAGCTCATAATACACCAGTCCACCTCAGTTGTTATACCGCAACAATAACCACGTTTAGTGCAAATAAAAAAGTAATTACCTGTCAATTTGAACATGAATGACACGTAGTCTGTAGCCATGTCGAATTCTCTGTCGAATTTTAAGTAAAAGCAAATGGGCAATCCTCTTCGTACCACCAGAGTGGGATTCCGCTCGTTCATACAATAGTATGAGTCGGACCGGTGTTTTTGGCCGTTTTTCGTGAAGCAGTAGTTGATCCATTCCAAGTTCAACGGGCCTTGGCCACTCGGGTTGACCGATCGGCGAACCACTGCAAAAGAAACACCGAAATCGAATCAGTTTCGCGTAAGTGGTTCGTTGTTAGACAACGGTATGAAATTAAATCGATCGTAAACATAGTGTGTTGTTTGAGCACTGGTTCTATGCAATATTATAATAAACCGTACCGTACGGTCCTACGTACCACTGTTGTCGTGTACACAAGTTTTGTTCGCGCGCGTAAATCTGACATGCGATGTGCACCTCGAGGTGCAGTAAAAGTGCAAAAAAACAATGATTTAGGTGTAGGACACAATATTTCGGTGGCGTTGCGAACACACGCACTAATAAATATAATAATATATATTATTCTTCGCCTTTTCCCGTCGCTGTTCGTAACGGTTTATCGACTGATCGTACAACGTCGTTACGTTCAGCGAACGCAACAGGTGCGCGTACAAGTGCGTATACCGTAAGCAGGTACGATGCCACTTGTGGTCCTGAAGTTTTCGCGCGTGAAACTTCGAGACGTTATTACGATTCGTTCCGTTTTTCGAGACGGAAGTCTTCGTGCAGCGGAGAGAAATCTCTGTGGAAGCAGTGCGCTTGCACGTCGCGTCATCTCAGGGCAAGAGGACATGGGCCAGGGACGCAATTCTAAGAGGGGCGCAAATTTCAACACTACTTATGTAATATCTTTCACATAATATGAAAAATATGTAGTTAAAACAATTTCATTTGATAATGTCATTGATAAATTTGCCTCTGTAAAAGCAAGAAATGTAACATTGTAATAATATTGTATTAAATAAATTTTAAATCATCAAACACAATTATAAAACAAAAGAATTTGAAGAAAATTACATGTTTTTATTGTTTATATTTTAAAGTAATACAAATAGTCATTAAAGTTTATTAGTATTTATTACACCTCGTTTACTATGTTCTTATACATGCTCAAATGTATCTAAAATGATTTTTCGTAAAAAAATGCAAATTTCCCATTGCGGGTGAGGAGGGGGGCGGGCGCTGGTACAGTGACTTGCCAGAGGCGCCACCAGACCTCACCACGGCCCTGGGTACATTGTTGCACGAGCCGCGCATATACGAAACCGACCGCCTGTTCAAGCGCCACCGCGCTTAGTTAACGCAGTTGCAACGCGGTCGGTGTTCAGTGGGACACGCGGTTAGTGGGCCGGGGCGTGGGCGTCGCTTCGCGGCTGCGCTAAGGAAACGCAAATCGGACAAGAGCAACGGGAACACCGGTGTTTACGTTTCGCAACTGCGGGCCCCCCAATCGGCGAACGCGTGCGCGCAACCACGCCGAAGCGGCCCCGTCCCGTCGCGCGCGCCGCGTGTCGACGGTACGCGGCCGGTGATAACGGTGGCACAATAATATTTACGCTTTCGGATTGTACGCGTGTTCGACGAACTTGACGGTCGTTTTCGGCGGGGAAAGAAATAATGATAATCGTTCGACCGAAATCTCGTTGAAAAGGAGTTCTTATCGAACGATTTGTACGGCGCAAACTATAATACCCAGTGATGTATAGCTGAAATAAACACTCCTTATTTCATTTAGTAACAATCACATATAGCAGGAACCGAAAAAACTCACTCATAACACATCCTTAATTGTAACTGTTTAACAACAAAAACTTGTTGTTCGATGATAACAAATTTGAATTTTTTCGTTAAAAAAAAAAAAAAAGAAAAATAATAGGTATGTCCGATACCGAATCGCGTCATAAATATAACCACAAGCTGTATTATTTATATCTGTCAAATTACAAGCTATAGGCGATGAATAAAAATAGCATATCGGGTATACCCTCCAATACACCACCGATAATACCGAATGTACCGAAATAATAACGAAAAATAAATAAGTAATAATAATATCCAGCGGTAATATATAATAATATTGATAATATTACGTTAGTAACAATGTGTACGAATAACTGTATAAATGTTCACATGACTGTCAAAGAAAAAAAAATGTCATTTGATACGTTTTCGGTGTACTGAAATCCACGACGAACTGTGTCGAAATCAGCTTGGATTGTATTTTAAACTTTATTTTATCATGATTTCGAAAGCTCCAAGGTAAAAAAATATATGCTATTATATGATGGTTAAATAATAATAATATAAAAGTAATTCCTGAAATAGAAATAGAAATAAAATTAAATAGAAAATTTTTTCTTTTGATGAAAATTGCGTGGGTACATAAAAAAAAATTCGTTGTGTAGTTATTCGACTGTAATTGTAACAAATTTATGAAAAGCTGTTTCCGTATACATATATTTATATTTAAATTGGCTACGACTCTTGTGCACGTCATAACGAATCTTGTTGTACGGTAAAACAAAGAAATTTATTTAATCACGTAGTTTGGTCGAGGGTTTTATTATTTTTATTTTTTAACTCGCTGAAATCTAAACGTTTTTTTACTTGTTTCATTTCCGATTGCAATTATTCATTTTTTTTATTATACATAAATACTGCGTATTCAATATGAAAAAAAAATAATAATAATAATAAAAATCAAACAAAAAATACCGTTGTACACAATTTTATTGTACCAAAACAATTATAATATATATATATATATATATACACGAACGTATGTTTTTCAATAACGATATAAAAGTAGTAAGATTAAATTTAAAAACAATTAGTATCGGTTCATATCGACATGAATAATATTTATTTATTTTTACTTTTTCATTGCAAAAAACGCGTATGTTATGCGACATAACATAATACATTACATATTTATACATATCTTTTAACGTTCTTTTAATTCACGTTTATTTTCATATTTCGTCAAAATTCCTCGTAAATATTATTACTACGGTTTTTACTACGTACACCCACTTATGCTGTCTTTCCCACGCGCGACATTTTAAACAAATCTCACGTCAGACCACTGAGAGGAATTAACCTTCGAAATTGATCTTACCAATAATAGTAAATCCTGCCGTCGTTAGACCGATCGAGAACGACTCGTTTTTTCGCGTCCGTTCGCTGCCGTGGTGGTTGTTTACCGAATCAGACGCGAAAAAAAATGTACTGTTTCCAATACTATACACATTTTAATGTGCGCGGTAATAGTACGATGGGATTTGAGTGACACATTTGAAGAACGAATGCGTTAACGGTCGGAGATAAAAACCACGATAGTGTCCTCGTTCGTATTCATCACGTGCGTGTTTTCCGTCTGAAACCACATCCGAAGGACACGTTTTCCGGAACTCACAAATGTGATGACCAACAAAGGCGCTGAACGTGGGTGGTAACGCCGCACAGTGCATTATCTGAATAACGATTAACACGACGATAACGTTTAATACCGAGTCGATGCATTATTTTTTATGGCTGATCGTATCTTTCCGTTTATTTCAACAACCGATCGTTTGATATTATTATCATAACCCCGTCGGTCACAGAGCGTAACGCGGCTCGTGTTTTATAACTATTTTCAGATTCATGTGAAAACACATGTTCGAAATTAACGTTATCTGTTGTCGTTAAAATTCGCGGTGTAGAACGGTTGAGCATAACACGATTAAGCATAAAATATTTTAAATAAACCTTTCAGTAACACGGTCGAGCATAGAATATTTTATGCGACTTTGCCGCATTCACGTTCTCAACATTTTGTAATTTATATTCTTCATATATTATTACAACAATTGTTAAGATATTAAATTTAAACGAGCCGCGAACCGAAGGCCTAGCCCAGCTTTATCGGTAACGTTATTGATTAATTTAATACCATAAATCAGTGGCTAACCTAACCAGGAGCGAACTGAGAGTACTTCGGCCCGGGTGGAAATTTAAGCGGCCCACATTTTTATGTATGATCAAAAAATTTGCAGCTCGCAGTGCTCGCTTATCATAGGCTAAAATCTCCTAAAAGGGTGTTTAGCACCGTCAATATATTCTAGAAATAAATAATACTTATTATCATTCATAATATTATATTACACCGTTTACTTAAAATCTTCACATGAACCATATAGTATAAATAATTTCCCAATACATATCAATATTTTGTACCTCTATTGCTTGGCATGATCAACTATTATTATTCAAAAATGAGAACTCCATATTTAGTTAACTCAAATAAGGTTCATTTTTCTGGAATTTTTAATACAACTTGAACAATATTTGAACCAGAACTTTCGAAGTGATTCAAATGTACGGACTACCGGATATACTGGGTGAGGACTTTACCCATTTATTTTCCAAAAACAGTAAGGGCTATATTCGAGGGGAAGGGAGAAGAAACAGGAGAATTTCGTCCCCTAGCAATCAGTGTCTCGTGATTTTTAATCTAACAGTATAAACTTTTGAATTAAAATGGAAAAAACCTCAATAATAAAAAATTATGGAAATATTTCAATACACTCAATATACTCGAACAGGAAATTACAATTGTATTAAATATTAATTTTGCATAGTATTATTAATTAATTATTAATACCACTTATCAAGTATAATTGAACTAATTTTTACTCGGTTTTTCGATAGTTTTTCCTCAAATCTGGAAAAACTACTGAAATTTGGGAAAAATTACCTTATTTAAGTACTACTGTAGTCTGATTTTGAATCTAAAATGTTGCTATATAAAACTTTTGAACCAGTATTTCTATCCCAAAAAGTGTTTACAGAAAAAAAAGTAATTAAAAAAATATAGAAGAAACATCATTGTAAAACTATAAGATACTTCGTTTCACTTGGAATCTAAAATCATAAAATACGTATTATAACTATATTTACAATAAAATCAAATTTTATAATATTATAACTAGAATATCAAAAACAATTTTTGTTTTCATAAAATTAAATAATGTCCAAAAAATTATGCCCTCATAATGTGGTCTGGCTACAGCCCAAAATCGGTAGAAACCGAGTGCAGACACTTAGGATCGGAGATAATTACTCTTACAATTTATTATTTATCCCCAGCCGAAAATATTAACTGTTCTATTCTCGTATCTAACCACAGGTTCAGTTTTTATTTTCTATTATTACTTTCGATCT